CCTTTTATTTTCTCACAAGAAGTCTCTTACAGGAGATTTGACCTGTCCAACTTTTAACCACATCATTGTCAGAGTTTTGTAAATCAACAGCTTTTGTTTTCCCTGCAACTTGAAAAATTGTCTTTGTGCTCCCAGCCCAAGCTTTTCTCCCACCTTGATTCACTTATGCCTTGGATCTGTTCAACAGTCCAAAGTGCTTCCAGTTCCTTGAGCTGCCTGTAGCATTGGCTATTTTCTCTGAACAGCTTGTACTGACTCCTTGATGCACAAACATTTAAATCAAGCAATACTGGCAGGAAGCAACATCAGGTAGGGAGAGCTCAGACTATTATTCCACTGTTTGTGGAACTCAGTGACGGGGTCCAGTTCTGCCAGCGGCCAAACACTGGGTACTGTAATATACAGACTAAATTCATGAGTACATATCTAAAACTGTATATCTAAGAGGATTATTAACATGAGTGCATGCACACAGATGCCTGTTAGAAGAATGCAAATAACTTGAGCAGCTACTATTTTTCTCTCATAATTTCTGGTTTGCTGACATCTGCCTGCCTGTTTCCAAGTCAAACTTAAGTCACAGGGCAACACGGTAACATTCAAGGGAAAGCAATTGAAACTTTAATAAATTCTCCATATTATTCATAAAAGTTGCCTTACAGTTTCATGGGTAAATACCTAGCAACACATTTATAGCAACTCTTACAACCAGGCTGCAGTTGGTGAGCAAAGGAGGGAAGCAAAGAAATCCATTCTCTGTGGTGAAACAACATCTTTCTCATCTATATTGAGAAATTAGTAAATTGATTACCATGTAAGTCTGATTTCCCCCTTGTTAATGCTATCTGCAATGAAGCAATAAAGTCACTTCCTTCATACAGGGTCTTGGTGTACCTATGGCTGACCTAGCACAGTAAATAAAGCACAGGGATCAAGTATCAGGAAACTGAGGTAGCAATGAAGAGTTTGTTGTTACACAAGGGCTTGTGAGTATTGACACTAGGCCCTCTGCTGCAGAAACCTGAATCTGGCACCAAGTACACCTACCTAACTGAATGTGTACCAAGATGATCAGTGTCTGAAAGAAACAGGTCTTTTCTGGGCTGCAGAATATCCGGTAGAGCAGTCTTGCTCTACCCATCCCTGCCGCCCTCTGCAGTGTCCTCTGCCCAAGCAGCTCCCACCCTCGCCTGCAGTCTGCCAGCTGCTCCCCCTGAACATGCTGCTGGCCGTCCTGGAAGGGACATCTCCTCTCACTCCCCTCCAGAAAGGCAGCATAATGCACTCTGTCCTTCTGACCACAGCACAGAAACTGAGAACCAGCAGGGAGGGTGTTGCATGAAGGAAAAGAGGTAGGTGTGGGTAAGGGAGAGACAAATTTGGTAAGAGACCAATCGCCTCGCTTTCTAGCCATCCCTCAGATAGTGGAGGGGCTGGGGGCAGCTGAACTTGTCTCTCAGCAGGCTCCAGTGAGAGCCGTGGCCCTGGGTCCGACCCCAGCTGCAGGAGCAGCCTGTGGCTGGCGGGCCGGGCGGCGTCCACCC